TTTCCTTGATTGATTCGAGCATGGATCTCAATCTATAGGAAAACAAGCTCAAAGCGCCCTGGGCGTTAACCCTATACAAGCTAGCCTTCGCCTCCTTGTCTGAGTAAATATAAAGGGGCGTTAAGCCTAGAATTGCATTAAGAGCCGCTCCAGGCGATGATCGCATCGCTCCAGTTGCCATTAAGCAGCCAGTCCTTTGTAGACTATTTAGTCTTTCCGCAGTCGTCTTTTGGTTGGTTTTATTACAGCCATAGGGTCATACTGGGACGCAAGCACCAGTTGTTCCCGACCATGCGACTGCATGTACGTAAAGCAATTTTTGCCTTATGACAAGCTAAGCTAAGGTGAGAGTTCCACGTTAGTTTTTGGTCGATTGTTACGGCCCAAGTGCTTAACTTCAGTGGAGAATGGTACTTCTTTACCATTAAGGTTTGGTGCGACTAAATTGTCCAATCGTCTCTTTTTGGTAAAGGATATTATAACAGTTTTATCAGCATTAATCGATAAACTGTTCGCCCTGCACCAGTTGTTTATGGTGTTTAGGGCTCTTAGTATGATTGATGATAGAGTACTTTGGCAAAAACCCCTGACAATGATCACAAGGTCATCAGCATAACCCAGTGTGTCAATGCGAAGGTCTGCCATCTTGTACAGTAATTGGTACAACCGCAAGAGTCCAAAGGAGGGGTGAAAAAAAACACCACCTTGTGGACAGTCTCTAGTAGTTGCAATCTCAATCGAGGTTTGAAACAGCTCTATTTGTGCCTTTCTGTTTGAGAGCATCGACTTCACCCACCTGATGGTTGTGGGGTCAAAATTTTTAGACCAGCAGTGATGTAGGGCTAATGTCGATGGCGCCTTCAATGTCTAGAAAGGCACAAAGAGCTATTTCTTTATCCTCTAGTGCTTTTTCTACCCTGTCAATAACACTGATCAGGGCTGTTTCTGTAGATTTGCCTCTACGGTAAGCATGCTGGTTGTAGTGTATACGTCTCGTAGGTCTAGATCTTTTTTTTACATGGGGAAATGCCTACGCATACCCGCCTCGCGGGGGAAGTACGGGTTATATCGGACTCGCACCGACTAAAACCCCATGGTGTTGCACCTTCGTCGCATATTGGCAGGGCGACAGGAACACTTTCACACACATCCGCGGCCCCACCAGCGCCGGCCGTACCACGGCAGCCCCTTCTCGGGGGAAGACCTCTCCTCTCCATTCTCCTTCTCAAGCAAGGCGCACCAGGAACACAAAGCACGCCCTCCTCCACGGCCTCCAACTCCACCTTCGTATCGGAACCCCGAGTCCGATACGCGGAGGCCATGAGGCCAGGAAAATAGAGCGCTTAGTAGCACCCGCTTTCCCGACCCCAGAGGCGGATCTGGTCTCTGTATTCGCCACCAACCAAGTTTCGGCCGCGGAGGTTAGGGAGAGCGGCGCCTCGCAATACCGACACTCCTCAACGGTGCGGCCCCGTCAGAGTCGCGGAGGATAGGGCGAGTGGCGCATCACCATACCAACACTCCCCTTCCTCTGCGACTCCACCTGAGCTGCAGCGGTAGGGGGAGAGGACACCCCTCTCACCGCAGCCCTACTGACACACATCCGAAGTGGGCTCGCCAAGCCCACTCGGAGTGGCCACCTTGGGCCGGCCCTACACCACGGGCCAGCCAAGGGGTTCCTATTTGTTCACCGCGGGTGACTAAGTCACGGCTACTAAGCCCCCACGCCACAACAAGGCGGGAACCCGTTCGGGGGGTCGTAGCAAGAGCTACATCTATATATCTATCTATAAACTTTTCCAATGTCTTCAGAAGGAAGGAAAAGAAAGGCTTATAGGTCTAAAGGACTTTGGTAAGGCGTAGAACTTTCTACCAGCCTTAGGTATAAATAGAACTTTGACAATTGTCCATCGTTCTGGAATATATCCCCATGCAAAACTTGCTCTGAAGATTTTTACCAGATAAGGAAGAAGGACATCGATACCCCTCTGTAGATGGATGGGCATTATTCCATCATCCCCACTTGTCTTATATGACAGTCTTCATTACAAGGCCTTCGTAGGGCTCTGAAAGAGTTCGAGGCCAGAGTCATATGTGACCCTGGAAAATGGGTTGACGCAAGTAGCTCCAGTATTTCCGTTTCACTATTAGTGAAGTTAAAAGTTATAAATATTTGAAGTATTTATGAATCGTTCACTATTTCCTGTTTCCGTGAGAATCCATACTTGAGAAGCGTTATTTTTTAAATGTAGCATATTACCAAGCATGATTATTATGATATCCGTATCAGAGCGTACAAAACTAGAAAGAAAAAGACAATTAGAGCAAGTGCTATTATAGTACGCGCTTATGGACGCCCCAGAAGTTAGTTGTCTGCCTGGGTGATACAACCACAATGTCTGCCGTGAAAATTATACTTGTCAAATAATACTATCAAAAACATATATAAATTGCAGCTTTATTGAAATAACATAAATTATTAATAAAAATTGTACTTTTCAGCCTGTCTGCCATGACCTTGAAACCGTCATAGGTGTCTGCCAATGTTATTTTTCGGTAACTTTTATTAAATATTTCAAGATGTCAAAGCGGCAAACTTATTGCTATCACGTTTTTTGGGTAATTTTTTTACACTTTTAACACCTGAGCGTCTCTATATCGACCGCCGGTCTACTAAAGAGTCTCCGTTTCATGTACCTCAGGTATAGGGGACTAACTGAAAAAAGTGAAGCTTACTTATTGAAATGCCGTAAGTCTGCCGCGCACTGGCTCTTAAGCTATATAAAAAAGTGTACAGCCACAGGCAAATGAAATCATAATGATGCTTTAGACTCCAAACAACGTAAAATTTTATTAAAAGATGGTTGCGAATCTTTAATAGAAACATTCACAGACGAAAACCTAAATTAACTATGTAATATGTAAACTATGTTTTTATTAGTGTATCTTTACAGAAATCTGTACAATTTTATTTTCATAATTCATTCCGGGTTTGACGGTTTTCCGATATAAAACGACATAAACTATAAAAGAAAAACTCGTGCAATCATATTTTATCGGGAAAGCTATTTTTCGCAGGCGGATCCCGGTCCCAGCTACATAAAATGCCGTGTTAACAATAACAAGTCCCGACGCGTCGAGACGTACTCGCCCCGAGATATCGTACTTGTTCCAACTTACAATCATGATTTTTATTTGCCAAATCCTACGTGGAGATGTTACGTTCGCACTTCGATAAAAAATATCGATAGTTCTGTATTTAAAATTGGCTTAAATAAATTATATCAGTCCGTAACAGTTCACTTGCGATCCAGCAAAGAAATTTTTCTAACACTGGTGCAAATTGTTTGCCGGAGGGAAATCACTCCGTAACTGCGTTAAATTTTTTTCATTATGATATTCCTTTGTAACTTAAGTAGGTATATGAAGCATTATAATTGATACTGAATCATTTACACAATACAAAGAAACCAAACTTCAAACGTCTAAACGAACCAATCAAAAGTTTTTGACGGCTCCGTGGCGCAGTGGCTTAGCAATCAGTTGTTGCGCTGGGGGCCGTGGGTGCGAATCCCGCACGGAACAAGTATTTGTATGGTCTAAAAATAATTGTTCCGGGTCTGGATGTTTGTCCTTGTGCAATTTATGTTTGTAAACTGCCTCCACGACACAGGAGAAAATCCTAGTGTGGGGGTAACGTTTTATTAAAAAAAAAAAAAGTCCAATCACGATACACGCCAGGGTTACACAATCGGCTGGACATAGCCTCTCTCACAGCAGGGAGAAGTTGCTTTAATCGTCACACTTTGGCATACAGATTGGTGATTAACGTCCACCTCGTAACTCTGACACTGCTCTCTGTAGCTGATGTGGGATTTCACATCTGGTAAATATTTACAAGAAGATAATTATACCTATATTTCAGAGGCCATTAAAACTTCCTGGCATTTTATAATAGTATGGCGGCGCTATCGTCACGCCACAAGCGAAACGCGTCAAAGCCTAAATCACGCTATCAAAGCTGCGAAGTACTATACAGGTATACAGTATACAGGGTTATTTTGCAATATATGCCCAAATTTGCGGAAAGGTTCAGAATAAATAATATAGGCGAAAGGTAAAGAAAAATTAATTTAAAAAAATCTCACACATTCTGTCATTTTTATCTTTTAAATTCAGAATGGGTGGTAATGCAAAATTATAACTGATTGTCATTCATAAATATTTTATGCCTACTATTTTACTACAAACGCACACATTCTTAAGGGTCGGCAAAAACATTGTGAATTGAATCGAACACAGAGGAGCGCGCGTACGCGTAGTTTTTTCCCATTAATCACATTAAATTTGGGATAATTTCTCAAATAAAAATAGAAGTTTTATTTACTCGTATTTTCGAACACTGTAATAACAGTATATCATTATTTAAATATTTGAACTTAAATATACAATTTGGATAATCTTTGAAAAATAATCCTGTATAAAGCTCCGATTTATCACTCCGTTTAAACACCTTGCCCGTCGGGAGATCTCCCCTTTTCCTTCCACGGCCAAAATAGCAATAAAAAAAAGTATATTCTTACGTCACCACGACACGTTAAATCTAAATAAATCATTAAGTAAATGTATATGTATATTTACTTAATGATTCCTTAAAACATATTCAAGTTTCGAACTCCGTAAGTTTGTGGCTATATGCAATGTATTTTGAATTGCTACTACATACTAGTACGTGATCCGCCTTCGCTATAGATGGCGACGTATGCAATAATTCAATCAAACGGGGCTTAACAGAGCTCCAGTGTTTACCAAACACATACCCTTATCACGAAGCATTGATGAACTTATCCTTTTCGCATTAGACGCTCTTACTTTATTAATCATTAACCTATCGAGCAACTTTCAACTCTATTTCTATAGAAATAACGATTTTTCAACATATGAAACATAATCATCAGATTTATCGCGCTAACTATTAGTTAGTCTAAAAGTGTTTTACGATGAGGTTGTACACACTTTTTGCGGTTTTCATTTACTGGGTCAAATATGGAAAATGTCGAGACGAAGACAAAATTAGCAAAGGTAATAATTTCTTAGTTCTACTGAGCGTCCTCTATATTTTTTTCTTTTGAAACTGTTGTAGTATGACGCTTTTCACAACTGAGAAAGATATATTAGTTAGATACTAACGCCATTATAGTAAGTCCAGCACCCTAGGGAGCAGTAATAGAACCGTTAAAACGACGTCGAAAGGAACTAAGAAATTTTAAGTGTCCGTAACTAAATTTACTGTTTCTAGCTACGCGATAATATGAACCATGCTTGGGAAATTTTCTAAAAGTTAGATTCTTATAAAACTCTAACAAAGAATGAGTACCGCTTGCAATACGAGAAGGATTTAATATTTAACTAACATATTTAATTATACTTTTTACCAAACCTGTGTTTATTATATGATATTTAATTCTCTTAAAATTTAGGGTGTTATTGGCCAAACGAAGTCTACGAGCCCTGCTTTGGTGGGTGTGCAGAGGTTTCATGCGACAACCCTCGAAACCACCTGCGCCCTTGTTATCCGTATTGCGAACCTGGATGTGTGTGTGCCGAGCCGTACGTACGAGACGATCGTACCCACCAATGTGTGCTCCCTCAGGACTGTTCGCCGTAAGTATCAATAATGTATTTAGTAAACAAATACAAAATATATTAGCCATAATGCAATTGACGATTGCCAAAATAGTAGTACAACAATATTAAGATTGAAATGACAGTTGATAAAATGAGTATTTCTAAAAATCAGAAAATATATACAATATTCGTATAACGCTTCATTCCTTTTTCTTAAATCTGCATTTTTTTATAGGAATGGGTGACAAACGACCACACAGTCTACCTGATGGTAAGTGGTTGCTGTGGCCCACAGACAGAAGTGTACATCTATCTTCGTTTGCGAATTAAAATGCAGATGCGTTGTCAGCCGTGAGGACTAAGATAGAATGCCTCTTTTCCAGTAAAATAGGTCTCCGGTTCTCTAGACTCACCATACAAAACACAGCAGCATTAAGCTGCTATTTCACGCTAGTATTCTGTGAGAGCGTGGTCCTTCCCCGGTCGAGCCAACCCATTCGTGCTACAACTATACTATTAATATAGCTGCAGCATGCTCTACCACGTATAAAAATTGAATCTTGACAATTTTCACAATATAACAGAATAAATGACTTAAATTAATTTTACTAACACTGCTAAAGAAAAACTACCAAAAACTATTCTCAAAATATATTTAAACACAAACATATTTTTTTTATTATTTGACGGCTCAGTGGCGCATTGGCTTAGCAATGAGTTGCTGCGCTACGGCCGCGGGTTCGAATCCCCCACGGAACAAGTATTTATATGGCTTACAAATAATTGTTCCGTGTCTGGATGTTAGTCCTTGGGCAATTTGTGTTTCTAAACCGCCTTCACGACAGGACAAAATCCTACAGGAGAAAATCCTAGTGGGGGGTAACGTTTTTTAAAAAAATAAAAGAAATAAAAAATTCATAAGCAAGCAAGCAACAAAAGAAGAACATATACGAAAAAACTTATTTAAAACACCTGCATCCATATTTCACATGTATACCGCTATGTAAAATCCTAAGCCTAAAGTTTTATTTAAATAAATGTAATTTTTGTTCCAGGACACAAATGGGTATACCAGTACCCACAAAAAGAATAGCAAAACCACCTGCTCCAAAATATGTAGCAGCTGCAAAAACGCCAAGAACTCATGGAAAGCGAGATGAAGCATTAGATATGGAAGACAGTGCTTTGCCACCTAACAATCACGTTGAAGATTTCAAGAGAGCTTCAGAGGTGTCAAGGATGGGCAATTACTTCAATATTGTGATCGCTCCTCCACCCATCAAAGCATTACAGCCGAGGAAATTGCTTCACAATGATAATTTTCGACCACCCATTAAACAAATCAACTGATAAAAATTAATAAAAGTTTACAAAATATATTGTTTTAATAATAACTTGTTGTTTTTGTTGATCACTAAATTTTACCAATCTGCGCCTCAGAGTATTTTAATAGTTTTATTCTTGAAATTATAACTCAGTCATGTATCACTTGGCATATTAGTATTTTCTGTAATTTTCCAATTCAACTCTTGCGAAACCTAACTAGAATTGTTGGGTAAAGAAATATATTTACCTTATCGTTAAGTATAAGGTAATAATGGCAAATAAAATTATATGACATAATTTAATAACAACATCAGTAATGGCCAGTATTCAATCATGTCAGTGAAGTTAATCTACATTTTATATCACGCCACATTTATAAGCGGAATATGTCAAATTTTGTGGGAGAAGAGAGGAAATTTTCATGACGTTTAATAGTCTACGGTAGCACTCCCTACTAAACAAATTCTCATTTAAGACGATATAAAAGTAAATGCTAATATCCACATGCAACAAAATATAAGTATCGAAACAAGAAACCCATGTCGGTTTCTGTACAGTGACAAAAAATTCTAATAAGTAAAGCTATTAAAAGTTTTAAGCTTTTTAAACAAGACACATATATTGTTCCTATAAAATCAAAAAAAATATCATCATCATCATCATCATTACAGCCGTTCACAAGTCCACTGGTGAACATAGGCCTCTCCCAAGGAATGCCACAAAGCAAAAAAATATCAATAGCTAAACATTTTAGCTGTTGGATTTTGTAAAAATTATAAATGTAGGTTTTGATAGATTTATAATTTTCCTAAGGTTCTTTATAAAATAAAATATCAATTACATGGAAATTATGATATGTTAACATTCATTTAGATACATGCAAATGATACTAACTAAATATTTCTATTTGTTCTTATTTTTGTTTGTTCTTATTTTTATATTAATTCATTTATAATTCTAGTAACACTTCTAGTATTATTGTTAAAATCATCTGACTCAGCTTATATTCTGTGGTACATGAAAATAATCGCAACACGTACATATCTAAATGAAAAAAGCAAAAAGAATAAAGAATTGACTCTTAATTGCTCTGTTCACTTTTATTTTATTTTAATTTGAGAGCACACACATCCGCAGTTAAAGTTTTCTTTTTGTCAACAAAGCCTCTAATTCCACTGATTAGCGGCTTCGGGATTGTCGTAAAATGAAACGTATGGGTTTGACTTGATGGTAACTTACGTACAATATTAAATTGAGCATCAAGATGCGTAAACTCTTATTATTGGGCTTTTTACTCTGTAAGAATAAAACAAATAAAATAAAATAAACTTATTGCATATTGGAACTAATTTAATTAAAATTGCAGACAACGTTATCGCTCTCGCTTCGAGATCCAACAATTATGACTACGAGGATGTCGAAAATAATAAAAGGCATACTATTGGTGAAGATAGAAGAAATTGGCGAAAGAAAGCATTATTAAAACCTTTAGAATCCGACCATAAAGATTGGGACGACAGACGCAGATTTGAACAAGATAATCTTAGATACTCGGACGATGCAGACAAAGGTTATGGAGGTATGGACAGGCAAAGAGAGATGGATGGATTTAGAGGTCAAAGGCGCTACGACGAAATGGATAAAATGATATCTGGAATTAACAATGACTTAGCACGGCCATCGTCTTTCTTGTAATTTCAGTTTCAAAATATGTTACATACGTTAGACAAAATTAGTGTCATATTTATAAAATGTTCGTTTTCTGTTGCAGAGAAAAGGATATTGATAAAAAGCCTGTGTCAATATCAATGAATTGTGATAGGCAACATGAGAGGTATACACTTGTTTTTTTTTTAAATATCATTTATTATTTTATGTCACTGATAGCGTCTACTAAAATGATGCCAATTGAAAATAATTTAGATATTTACAAACTTATGTTCAGTGTTAAAACTAAATCATAAAAATGTATAGGTATGAGCCTTGCTTTGCTGGATGCGCGTCTGTTACTTGCGACAATCCCCGTGACCGCCTACGACCCTGTTACCCGTTTTGTGAACCAGGTTGCGTGTGTGTGCATCCCTATGTTCGTGATGATCGCACACACAAATGTGTTTTACCAGAAGAATGCACGAAGTAAGTAAATAATAATATTCCTTCCTTACTATAAGAATTGTTTTCTTTTTTAATAAAATATTTTTGACACAATCTTGGATCTTAAAACTTCTCATATGTATTGAATAAAAAGTTTTATTTCTTTAATTTATTGTACCTTCATCAACCCATAAAAGGCCAATGCTGAACATAGCATCTCTTTACAACTGGATTTCCAGGAAGAATTTGGCGTAATTGCAAGGCTTGGCAGGCGGATTGGCGTTCGTAGCACCAGACGTTTTGAACCTTTGTCACTGCTCCCTATCGTCGATTTGGGTATTTATTAAATGCTGTGTGATTTTATTGGCATTTCCGAAGTCGCCTGTTACGGTGACACCCATGGGATAAATTGGAGCAATAAGGGGGAAATGGTTTCTCTTAAGGGACTAACTTATTGAATTTAACCTAAAAAGTAATAACTTATATATAAAAATAAGCCCACAGATAAATAAGCGCCATATAATTTAACATACTATATTTCTTGTGTTGCAGAGGCCTCAAAGGAATTCCGGACTTGGGAGATGATATTTAATTAATTAAAGTTGATATGTTATAAAATAATTAACTCACATATTATGTGTGTATCATTTTTGTACAAATTCAATATCGATTTTTTTGTCAATTGTATGTTTTAACACTTGGTAAAACGCACATAATTTTTGTGTACTAATTGTGTATTGACATTCGATTATAATATCATATTTTGATGTATCATTTTACCATAATATGTACTAAAATAAATTTAAACATTAATATTGTGTAAAAGAATTTGTATTTAGAATAATTTTATATTTTTACATTGCATCCTAGTAATAAGTAATAACTAATTGAGTATTTAAGAATTAAAAAATATTCTTGAATTTAGTTATTTTTGTGTAGTTTTAGACTTTCAAAATAATACCCTCTATCATCTTAATTAACAATTGTTTAAAAAAAACTGTAAGTACGTAAAGGAAACGAATCAGTATAGAATATCATACTAGAATGACGAAACAAGATAATTGTCGCCCCAACACAATGCATGTATTGTGTTATATCGAGAGAAAAAGACGCCATGGAATGGAGCTATTGTTTCTCAAATTAGATTGGCACCTTTTTTCAAATACTATTAAAATTGTTTAGAACGTCGATCAATGTCTCACTGAAGCATTACATTAATATTTTCAAATCTATATCAAAAATAAAGAAATAATTAAAAGAAAATAAGTTAGATCGTGAAGTTAATAAACAGTGACATTTACGCAAAGACACGTCATTAAAGCATTAATTAAAGTTTAAGAATCTGGAGTTATCTGAACTTACACCACACCAAAACACAAGAAAACTACTCCTATAATCTTCTATAATATTGTGATTTGATAGAATGAGAGTATATAAATCCAAGTTTTACAAATGACAGTTTGGCTTCTCTTCGTTTCTGCTGTGGTAACTCCTGCCTTTACCACGAATACACAATTCGGTAAGGAAAAAAATATTATTATATTCTGAGTTTTCTACCCATCAAAAGTCCATTGATGAACATATTACAATAGCATAGCTTTATGTTCTTTACCAAAAGTTCTATTTATTTTATTTAAAAAAAAAGGTAAATTATGTATATATTTATAAAATTAATGTTTATCATATTTAATAGTTTGTACTAAGTGCATTGTAATTCTGATGAAATTTTTATATTTCTTACTACTCTTATTACACAACTTGATTTTCTTGCAGAATGTGGATCACACGGAAGATTTGAATACTGTATCGATGGGTTCCCTGGCTGTATCATAGGTTGTCACTGCCACCCTGGATATTATTTCGATACAGATACGAAAATATGTGAACCTAAGTATGCAATTGTCAATAAACAATACCATACATATAGATAATAAACAATATAATTGTCAATTAACATTAAATACACCATTATTAATATGTACTAGATAAAAAATAATATTACTATTACAGCATAAAGTTGACGCAAAGTCACCGTCGACAAAATAACGGTGAACCAATACCTACATCGTTATCGCAAATCGACTCTCCCGAAGTGCCAGAACTATCAACATTGTTTCCAAATACAAGTGCTTTAGACGATCATGTAGATGCAATAGCTAAGAACGCAGATGATCTTGGTGATTGGCTCTATAATCAATTTTATAAAACAATAGAAAGTCAAGTCATCAACAAAACCAACGGAAATATATTAACAAGAAGAAGTGGTACGGGTTCCCCAAAGGAAAATGTAAAAAAAAAAAGACGAAGAAACCAAAACAAAGGGTCTGCAAAAAGAAAGCGAAAAAATGAGGACTTGAGAAGGAAGTTACTTCGGATTACAGAAGATGATAGTCTATTTGATTCAAACACAGATACTGATAGCTCTGACCCTTCCAGCAGTGATGAAACGCATGAAACCAAAGACCAAGAACACGGACACAAAAAATTTGTCATATATAACAAAAAACCAAAACCGCCACTGCCTTCTTTTATATTTTTACCAAATTTAGAAACACCTTTCTATCCCCCAATAGGATTGCCTCCACCAGCTCTACCTATGTACCCCATGGTACCCGTGCCACCAGTGCTATCACCTTATCCTTTCCCAAGTAAGTGAACAAGTCTTTATAAAATTACGCAACTATATTTATCTTTTATACGTGGTAGAGCCATGCTACAGCTATATTATTTTGCAGCCCGAATGGGTTGGCCGTCCGGGAAAGATACATGCTCTTATAGAAGACCAGCGTCAAATAGCAGTATAATGCTGCTGAGCTCCGTATTGTGAGTATAGGGATTCGGAGACCCTTTTTACTGGAAATGAGGCAATTTATCTCAGCCATCAGAGGTGACAATGGATCTGCATTTTGATTCCTAATCGAGGACAGTTGTTGATTTAGATTTGTAGTTGTAGATTTCTATTGACCATAGTATGCACTTATTATCATCTGTGTGACCTGTCTTATCGTGTGTGTGTGTGTGTCACTGTAATAAAAAAGTGGGGGCGTTATAGAATCCACTACCCCATACAATCCCGTGGGTGTCATAAGAGGCGGCAGAGGAAAATGAAACTATTCAGTGATAAAAAAATTAAAACTGCGGTTACCAACCTGCTTGTAAACCGCAGCAACTATGGCAAATACTCCACCCCAATGAAACAATCTATGGGGAAGTACTATCTTTATCAGTGGATATCGAAGGTCTGTAATGGATAGCTAAAAGGACATTTTTATATTTAAATGTATTAAACAATTACGTATTTGTTTTATATATTATAGATATACCTCCAGATTGCAACGAAACGGAAACTCCAAAAAATATCATCAGTATATCTTCATCAACCACATTAACTTCACAAGCAACAGTCTCTATTCCAACAGTCACAACAGAACCATCCAAAAAGACAGAATCTCGATCTGAATCAATAATAGAAACAACTTCAATGAGTATGGAATCAACAACTGTGCAGGGAACTGAAGATAAAGTATTGCGTTTTAAGTAAGCACAATTGACTCGTTAACATGAATAAATTTCATACAATAACATGAAAAAAAAAGAGAAATAATTTCTAATAAAATCCAATAATTAACCTTTTCAGGAAAAAGAAAAAAAAGCATATGCGTAGTGGCGGAAGCGATGTAGTAAGTTAAAATAGTTATTAATGTTTATCTGCTTAGTACTTCAAAATATCAATTTAAACATTTTAATAATTTATTACAGCTTCGACGGTTACAAGAACTAGTAAGAAATTCGAAATTTAAAAAGAAAGAACATAAAGCAGAACCTCCCAATGTCTTAGATCGGGAAACAGTGGAAACTAGTGATATATTTCTTGATGAATCCATAAAAAGTGAAGATTTTCAACATCAAGCTAACGATAAAACTCCTTCGGAACAAGAAAATACAGTTGATTTTAAATATTTGTCACAGTTAATTCATCGAACAAACCTCAATGACACGGCAAATCCAGTGGAGGCAATGTCTGATCCAAATAGCAGAAATCGACCCTTTGCTGATTTCCATAGGAAAAATGGGATTATTAATTTCCCCAATAAAAGTTTTCAGTCCAGTAGAAGAATGAATATCCAAATGTATCCACAGAAACAAAAAATAACAGACAATTCTTTTTACGCTAATCTGGGTAAACAAATAGCAACACTTATAAGAGGTGTTGATTCTAAAAATGATAGACAAATTAATATTGAAATTGAACAAATGGATCAAAATACACAAAGTCATCCAATATTTAGTGAACTTAGTTATGCGCCACATTCGTACTGGGAACGATTCGTTCGGTCACCAATGCGTTACATACAGCAATACCGAAATAAAAACGAAGATCACGAAAAAAGTAATGAAATACTTTACAATATCGAAAATAAGGTTGAAATTGCTGCATCCACTATGTCACCAATGAGTTTATCGGAAATTGAAAATGTTATCAGCATAATGGAAGGAGTACAAGGTGAAATCCAAAAAAGCTATCAAGTTCCCCACAATACTCCATCTAATAACACGCTTGATATTAATTTGTGGCCCCAAGAGTTAGTGACAAATAACACTCTTACAAATTCTGTAAAGCCTTTTATAAGAAAGATCCAAAAGTACTTCAACTATACAAAGAAATATACAACAGAAAAAAAAATGCGTTCTGAAACAAATAGTGTACTCTTGCAGAACATTCAAAATTTTATTACGTGGCTTGGTACAGAACAAGTTAACAACATTTCTAGCAATAAAATACATAACACAAAATTAAGTAAGAAAATTCGCGACGAAGACAAAAAAAATTCCCTTACTAAAAATGAAGATCCAGTATCTAACGATAAGCAACTTAATAATCCAAATAACGATTTCATCAAAAGAAGACATTACAAAACGGCACCTATCATGGGCACAAGTATACAACATCAAGCACTTTCACCTTTATTTGATTACAAGAAAAAACGTTTTCTCAACATAAACAGTCAATACCCATTATATAATAGTCTTTTCGAATATCAATTTCCTACCGTTCCAAAGCCTATCAAAAAATCACCTTTGAGAACTGTTCGCCCTTCATATTTCCACCACGAAGTACACCATTTTGATTTCATCGATTAAGAAGTTCCAAGCAACGCTTATAATGTAATTATTTTGCGTAATTATAACACAATGTTTATGTTATTAATGATTTATTTAAAACTTATAATACAATAACAGTTGAAAATTATAAATGTACAAAATTAAATAACATTTTTACTGCGATCTTAATAACAATTTAATGTAATTTTAATCCTACTTTGTTATCCTTCAGTAGCAATTTAATTCGCATTTCATGAAGCGCGTTAATTCGGAGATATTGTGGTGCAATACTCCAGCGATCTACATTAATACACCATAATACCATATATATCATAAATGAAGCGTACATTATGCAGGAGGTCCGCTATTTAGTGAGTGCCATATTATCATACATACAAGCTTTAAAAAAACGTAACGTATGATCCGTATTGTTGAGGTGAAATTTCTTTTTAATACGAGTGTATCATGCATAATTAACAGATCTTACAA